AAAAGGAAAAAGACTCTGGTGCCTAACAAACAGGTAATGTGAAAGAGATTTGACAGCGGCTAAAAGCTGCCATCAAAGGTTTCCTTCGTTATTAGTTCCAGAAATAATTCAATCCTGTAGTGTAATATTCTTTACGCGGCAAAAAGAGCTTGAGTTTTTCGGTAAACATGTGGATTTAAGAAGATAGAAGTGTTTATATCTACCGATATTTAATGTTGCTTTCGGTTTATAAAACATTCGCCTTTTACTGAGCTCCACACCAGGGTTTTGAAAAAAGGAAATTCTTAATTTTTGATTTCGTTTGCTTGAAGAAATTAACTCCAAACTCCAAATCACTGACTTGAGGGGGACATTAGAGTTGTAATGCCCAGGAGCGAGAGATACAAAATAGTTTCATGGAAAATAATTATTTTAAAGAAGCATATTTTGCGGGGTCTTTCTTACAAAACCAGCTGTACTTATTCTCACATCCATTCCACTTATAATTTTGGTCCAAATTTCGAGCAACTAGACTAGCAAAGAGTCGTTACAGAGGCAAAAGTTATTTTATATTGGTAAACAACCATCACATCCAAAACGGCTTTTTAGGTGAAAAAATTAGCCTTCCCCTTGATTTTCTGTTTTTAAACGAAATCGGTTCAGTTGTTTCCATATATTGACTGATTTAGTAGTCAGTACTCAGCCCAAAACAATTAACACAGAATAATCCCGTGTCAAGGGATCTAAATTTTTTCCACAACTGAAGTCCGTCATCTGCTGACCTTTATTTTCTTAAAGTTTAAATGATAGATTGCGATGTGTTTCAATGATCGTTTTCGTAATAAACGAGAAAATATGCTGGAAAAATGAAAAGATATCTCAAACATTGGGCATTGCAATTTGTGTGAAGCAGGCTTTTCGTATGAGAAAAGTAGAACAAATTTATTCTACACCATAGCCTTTAATTGTAACAATATTGCGCGTTCGAAATTCCAAACTGAAACCAGAGGTTAAGCGTAATATGTATAAAATAAATTAGATATTCTTTTAAATTTAATGTTCGTGTTTTCTAGTGATGTTTGTGATAGGCAAATGGTCTTCTCGTTGGTTTGCAATTTTAATTTAGAGTTCAATATTTAAACTGACATATCATTATTTAAACTTAACATTAAGCCTCGTCATTATATACGTTTAGTCTGACTTAAAATTACGTTTTCCCTGGGAACAGACGATTGGCCAGAGAGCAAAACTAAGTCCTGTATTTGTACATACAAAAAAAAAAAAATCTGGTTTGTACCAAAACTTTAATCAATTAAATGTCAAATGGATGTTTGCTCTGAGTAATCTTTTGTTATTTAAAAGGCGGAGTTTTTCCGGCAGTTTCTTTGACTCTTTCTCGGAATAGCTGTATACATTTTTAAACGTTCTTCCAGCAGTATCTCTTCTTTATTGTCAAGTTGTAACATGCGCGTAGTGTTTAATTCTCTCACGTTTTCACTCCTCCAATCCTTTGCGTAGTGCATGTTGGCGTTTAAAAAGTCTCGCACACAAAAAAACTCTCCTCACAGAGAACTCGATCTAAACTAAATCTAAGCCATACATAGTTCTCTCCCCGTAACGGACTGTTCTTTTTTCCGAAAAAAAAAGAAGCTTCAGATAAAAAAAGAGTCAAGCCAACTTTGAGGTCTCTGTCGGATCTTAGTTTATTAGTGGCGAACAGTACATTCCACTTTCTTTACTGTGATGTTTAGATTTTTTCTATTTAACTGTGCTGCTACGACGGAGGGTTGGGAGGTTGGGTGCGACTCCTAACAAGGAATCTCATTCCTTATAAACCTAAAAGGCAACCGCCATGGGAGCGTTTATGTTAGTACCCTAAAATTGTAGTGTGTTCCATAGCGGACAGATGCAATTCGCAACTCTCCAAAGATCCAATGTGCAGAACAATGCACTTATTCAATTCAAATCAATTCAAAGGGATGTAGATAGAGGTTATTCATTTAAAGGTTTCTTTTTTTTTTTTTTGATCAGCAATAAAGAACTATAGCAATAACGCGGAGCAACGACTACTAAAGCATCTCTTTACTGAGTACGACAGAGACGGCCATCCAGGCGGAGGAATCAGTGTAAAGGTCTGGATAGGAGCCAAGGTGGTGCGCATCGTAAACATTGTGAGTGGCAGCCACTGTTTAGGTGTTCCCACCTGCCTGCAAATCCATTCTTGTTTGAATTTTTTACCCAGTTGGCAAAATACTCATCATTTTCTTATGAAGCTACAGCCGAAGCTCTGTTAAGCGGCCATCTCGGGAATTCAAAAACGGGTGGTCGAGCTCTCGTAAGCGATTGCATGGTAAAATAAGAGTAGAGTGAGTTGGGTGGTCGCTTACGAGAGCTTTAGAAACTCATTTGTAATTCATAAAGAAAAAAAAAAGAAATCAATTTTTAATGAGTGTCTGTTTTATCTGATATATACACTGCTAAACTTTACATTTGATTTTTTTTAGACAAAAATAACCCCAAATCTAGATATTAGAACCATTAGCGCAAGACGGTACCGTTTCATTAAAGTGTTGATTTACGTTAATAAGACTCCGAGTGGTCGCTTACGAGAGTTTAAAAACAAAGGAAAAGTCCAGTTGGGTAATCTCAAAAGTGGTTGCGATCACTTACGGGAGCGGTTGCTTACGAGAGCTTTTCATTACAAAGTTAAAGTCACAGTTCAAACCGCATTTCACATAGGTGGTCGTTAGTCGCTCACCAGAGTGGTCACAAGGAGAGCTTCGACTGTATGATATTAGGAATATTGACAAGTCTGTCTATGTTAGAATTAGAATTAATTCGAACTGAAATTGAGTCCCACGAACTAGGTATGCTTGGAGGAATTTGATGAAAATTTGAGTTCGATATACACTCATACGTTTAGCGATATTCTAGTTACCAAAAAATTCAAAATTGTGTAAAGAATGTATGCTCCTATTAGAGTTTTTGCCACTCGATTATTTGTACATACAAAAAAAAAAAAATCTGGTTTGTACCAAAACTTTAATCAATTAAATGTCAAATGGATGTTTGCTCTGAGTAATCTTTTGTTATTTAAAAGGCGGAGTTTTTCCGGCAGTTTCTTTGACTGGCTTATTTTTGTCGCTTTCATTGCTAAGACGTTCCTCTAAACGTTATTTATTCAAATTTGGAAGATAAGATAACACAGTATAGCCCTTTATCAAACAAAACAAATTGCGGTCTGATTAAAAAAAGGCACGAAAACGTAAGTTTGATGAACCTCTGGTATATAACGAAGTTCTCGGTATAACGAACGATTTTCTCAACCCCAGTAAAAGTAAAATAAAATATAGGAAAAATAATCTCGATATAACGAAGCCTAGACATAGCGAACAAATTTTGCCTTGGTCCTTCGTTATATCGAGGTTTCACTGTACGTCTTTAGTCGGCAGTGACGTCACAGCCTTATTCCCGCTGACCCGGCTTTTACGCCATCGGCAAGGACTCTCGGCTGCCTGACGGTACGTCATTAAAATCTGAATTTGTACTCCAAGTTGGCTTTTTAGTCTGTGCACAAGAAGAAGAAAATTCAACGATTTCAGTAGGTTTTTTAAAGGTTCTTGTTGCAATTAATTCGAGCAACCAAAATGGAAGGAAACCAACTAAAGGCGTTAAAGATAACATAAAGCATAAACCCTGTAATAATCGTCATGCAGTTAATACTGTCAAGAATCCATTAACATTCTTTGCATTTTAAACGTTCTTCGTGGCGGAAGGAATCAGTCACGGAAAGCGCAATAAACTATGGGTTAAATACAACTGACGTTTAGTTGTACATCCGAGAAAAAAAAACCGAAAAGGCAACAACAAAATCAGAGGACTCAACCCGTGCCTAGGGTAGCTGAATATTCGCAGTAGAAAAAGCTTTCATTTTAACTTATTTTATTTCTTATTATTATTTCAGAATGGCTCTAAAACGTTTTAGAAAAAATTTCTCCTCTTCTGGAATCCTCATCTTTAGATGGATTGTAATATTTTTGCTTTGTCAACAGTGTGCAGGTAAGAGGTATTAGATGTAAGAAAAAAAATAAGGACAATGCTTCCATTGTAAAATATGAATGAATTGTGATTAAACGCATTACTCTATGACGATTGCTTATTTATATATATACAGCTATTTCGAAAGGTATTGTGTGTGGTTTTGAGTTCACTAGTTTCAAAGAAATTAATATTTGAAAGACTGGCAGGAGAGGCCGTGGACTTATGTTTGCGAGAGCTAAAGGAAAGCAACAAAAGTAAGTTGACAGCTACAGTCAGTCAGGAACAGTGTCTTGATCATATCCCGTATTTTCTTTTCGAATTGTCGCTTGCAGTTTTGCGACAACCTTTCTCGGAATAGCTGTATACATTTTTAAACGTTCTTCCAGCAGTATCTCTTCTTTATTGTCAAGTTGTAACATGCGCGTAGTGTTTAATTCTCTCACGTTTTCACTCCTCCAATCCTTTGCGTAGTGCATGTTGGCGTTTAAAAAGTCTCGCACACAAAAAAACTCTCCTCACAGAGAACTCGATCTAAACTAAATCTAAGCCATACATAGTTCTCTCCCCGTAACGGACTGTTCTTTTTTCCGAAAAAAAAAGAAGCTTCAGATAAAAAAAGAGTCAAGCCAACTTTGAGGTCTCTGTCGGATCTTAGTTTATTAGTGGCGAACAGTACATTCCACTTTCTTTACTGTGATGTTTAGATTTTTTCTATTTAACTGTGCTGCTACGACGGAGGGTTGGGAGGTTGGGTGCGACTCCTAACAAGGAATCTCATTCCTTATAAACCTAAAAGGCAACCGCCATGGGAGCGTTTATGTTAGTACCCTAAAATTGTAGTGTGTTCCATAGCGGACAGATGCAATTCGCAACTCTCCAAAGATCCAATGTGCAGAACAATGCACTTATTCAATTCAAATCAATTCAAAGGGATGTAGATAGAGGTTATTCATTTAAAGGTTTTTTTTTTTTTTTTTTGATCAGCAATAAAGAACTATAGCAATAACGCGGAGCAACGACTACTAAAGCATCTCTTTACTGAGTACGACAGAGACGGCCATCCAGGCGGAGGAATCAGTGTAAAGGTCTGGATAGGAGCCAAGGTGGTGCGCATCGTAAACATTGTGAGTGGCAGCCACTGTTTAGGTGTTCCCACCTGCCTGCAAATCCATTCTTGTTTGAATTTTTTACCCAGTTGGCAAAATACTCATCATTTTCTTATGAAGCTACAGCCGAAGCTCTGTTAAGCGGCCATCTCGGGAATTCAAAAACGGGTGGTCGAGCTCTCGTAAGCGATTGCATGGTAAAATAAGAGTAGAGTGAGTTGGGTGGTCGCTTACGAGAGCTTTAGAAACTCATTTGTAATTCATAAAGAAAAAAAAAAGAAATCAATTTTTAATGAGTGTCTGTTTTATCTGATATATACACGGCTAAACTTTACATTTGATTTTTTTTTAGACAAAAATAACCCCAAATCTAGATATTAGAACCATTAGCGCAAGACGGTACCGTTTCATTAAAGTGTTGATTTACGTTAATAAGACTCCGAGTGGTCGCTTACGAGAGTTTAAAAACAAAGGAAAAGTCCAGTTGGGTAATCTCAAAAGTGGTTGCGATCACTTACGGGAGCGGTTGCTTACGAGAGCTTTTCATTACAAAGTTAAAGTCACAGTTCAAACCGCATTTCACATAGGTGGTCGTTAGTCGCTTACCAGAGTGGTCACAAGGAGAGCTTCGACTGTATGATATTAGGAATATTGACAAGTCTGTCTATGTTAGAATTAGAATTAATTCGAACTGAAATTGAGTCCCACGAACTAGGTATGCTTGGAGGAATTTGATGAAAATTTGAGTTCGATATACACTCATACGTTTAGCGATATTCTAGTTACCAAAAAATTCAAAATTGTGTAAAGAATGTATGCTCCTATTAGAGTTTTTGCCACTCGACATGATTCTCCATTTTTTGCGATTGTTTTTTCCCACTACGATTGCTTGCAAAGGGCTTAAAAATGCTTGGAATACCCAGGCTAACCAACTCTTTTGACCTTTGCTCGTAATGATCGGCTAATTTGAAAATGCGCGTGGGACTGTGTTAGTCTGCTACACAGCCGTTGCGTAACGACACTAATAACGGCTTTGTAGCAGACTAGGGACTGTGTCGGTGTTCTCACAAATTGCACTATGGGAATGTTTTAGGGACGCTATCACCTCAGTTAACGGTTGTTGCAAGGTTGCGCAGGGGAATGGGTTAAAATTCGTCCCCAAAAAGCTGTCCCATAGTGCAATTCGATAGCTACGTACAACGTCAAAATAGCTAATAATTTTTTGTACTCTCTTAATGCCCATAATTGTAGGACGAAAAGAACAATGCACTGCAGGCTCAGTGGTGGATGAGACAGGTGGGAGATTAGTTTTCATTTACATGTCAAGAAATTTAAAATTGTGATCCCTGCCACCCTGCACAGCCTGGTCAATTCAGTCCCATAATATAAGCTTAACAAATTTGAACGAATCAAGAATTGTTAAAGAAAAACGGATTCTGCGAAAGCTGCATTTTCTTTTTCGCTACTTTCGCGCTCGGTAAAGGTTTAGGGAATAACACAGCAAACTTTAGCTCATCACAGATCTGGAGCCCCCCTCTAGTGTTTAAGGATGGTTTCAAATTAATTCTATCGTTGAATCAAAATGTTTCTTTGTCTAAGCCTCATGCCTTGACAAATACTACATTTTGTGCTTTGTTTTTGAACTGAACTTAAAATTTACCATATCTAATTACTGGTTTTCACATGACGCCATCAAAATTCAAACTAAGCGTTTTTACTTTCATCAAGTATTAGAGCAGTTAAAAGCTAATATTTTAACAAATTTTTACTTCGAAAGGGTTCTTTATTTTGTGATGCAGTACTCTTGAATTTCTAAGGTTTTGCGTGACGCGGCTTTTTAAATGGCGGCCGAGAGAGCTGTCATGTAGGTTGAAAAAGTGACTTATTTTGAGGGATTCTGCTTTCTAAACACTGATTATATTAGAAAAAGTATTACTTTAATGTTTAAGTTAAGAGTTACTCGAGAGAAGAATTCACACTTTCACAGCAAAACTCGGAAGCAGATGTTTCTGTTTGTTCAGTCCGGCTGCCATTATGGTGCCCATCCGGATGGACACCAACATGGCTTTTCCATACAAAGCTCTATAAATTTTAGTCTTTATCCGTTGAAGGTTTTGCTATGTATTTTTGATGGTGTGACACTGAAAACCAGCAATATGTTCTACAATCTTTTACACGGATTAAAAACCTTGTCCAAATATAATTAATTTTTAGGACTGGAACAATCCAGATCTGACGTGGAACCCAAACGACTTTGGGGGAGTGAAAACTGTTTACGTGGAACCGACAAAAGTGTGGGTCCCGGATGTATTGTTGTACAACAAGTACGTATTAACGAAAAAAAGTTAATAAAAGTTATGAAACTCGGTTCTTCAGAGGGGTTACAAATATTGAGGACTTTCGTTCGCGAATCCATAGGTAAAACGGATTATCAAAAATGTATCATGATTATATTTTACGTTTCCAGTAGACGCCGCAAATAGTACTAAAATGGTTTGTCTTTCAAAGGATCGAATTTAGTTTTTTAGTTTACAACATCAAAAAGATTACTTAATTTACACTTTTGAGTTATTTACAAAACTCAGTTTTTGATTCTTGACGTACCCGCGAGCACATCAGAAAGCCCGTTCACTTATAAGTAGACTTTTGTTATCGAGGCTCATGCTCGATATACGTCAGCTTTGATAGTTGTTTCAGGACTTCATCGGACCGTAAACTATCTGCCTGTCGATTAGAAATCGCGATTAAGTTTTTGGTTTTACTTCGATCGTTATAAATTGTAGTGTCCTTTCCAGTGCTGATAAAGACAAGGATATGGCTGGTGGAGTGGAGAAATACAAAACAAAAGTTTCTGTCTCCTTTGATGGTAACAACACCTGGATGGCTCCTGCTATGTTCCAAAGTATCTGTGACATTGATATCCAGTATTTTCCTTTTGATGAGCAAAAATGCCACTTGAAGTTTGCTTCCTGGGCTTATGACGTGTCCAAACTGGATGTTTTTCTGAATGACAAAGAAACGGGTAGACTGGAAGGAATATACCAGCCATCCAATGAATGGATCCTGTTGAGCGTTGATGCAGACAGGACCGAGGTAAGTTGGACAGCGACAAATACTGCTTTTACTTGAAACCCAGCTCTGTTGTGTCGGCCATACTACAGTAAATTTGATTAGAGGGATCTAAATTTGAAACTAAGCATCATAAAAAGAGATTGACAGACCAATCCCGGCAATCGTTTCAGTTGGTGCTTTCATTGGTCTTGATTCTCACGCGCCCCTGCCATAAATGCTATTCTGACTACTGTCCGGAAAAATGCCACACGAGGTACTTGACATATCCTCAAAAACAATCCTTTCCTTACAAGGTATCTACCATTAATCATAACTATAACAAAATTGTCAAATGTGATTGGCTATCAATTGCCCTGATTTCAGTCTTAATTGGACAGTTTAATAGGACAGTATGCGTCATGACTAAGTAATTGGACAGTACGCGCCATCACGCGCGCAATTAAATGGCTTTTTTTTTCACTGCTAGCAAAACAAAATTTCGAATTTCTTGTGTTTTGATTTAAAAAGTAGCCTATTATATCACAAATTTTGTTAAAGTTATGATTAGTTGATAACAGAACTTCGCGTCGTCCAATTCGGTTTGTAATCAAACTCGTGATTAAACAAATCGGACTCCCGCTACGCGGTCGTCCAATTTTGTTAATCACTCGTATGATTACAGACCGAATTGGACTCCACTCAGTCCTGTTACCATTACGAATAGTCATTTCACCTGCACAGGGTCCCGGGCTGTTATTGTCTAATCATGAGCCCCTGTTCAATCATGAAGTTAACTATCACACGCTTATCAATCATTTTAGGTGAAGTACCCCTGCTGCACATACCCTTACTCGGAAGTTCTGGTTACACTAAATCTGGAGCGTCGTTCAAGATATTACATCATCAATTTGGTGTTTCCCTGTGCACTTATAGCCTGCATGGTGTTTTTTACTTTCGTGCTGCCACCGGAATGCGGCGAGCGGGTATCCCTGTGTATTACCATCCTCATGGCTATGACTATCTTCCAAGAACTGACATCAACTAAACTACCACCGAGCTCCGATTCCTTCTTCCTTATTGGTGAGTATTGTATGTCGAATCTAATTACGGCTTCGATTGAGATATTGGCGCGCTCGCGAGTGAGAGATACATAAGAATTCCAGTGAGGACTGAAACTTACTTTCTGTAATTACCTTATTTACTTACTCTGATGGCTTGTAGATTAGTATGTTGTTTAAGTCTGTTAATGCGATCCTAAATTACCGGGTTCTCTTCACTGGACGAAAAAATGGATTTACTAGGGTAGCCAAATTACAGCAAATGTGTAGCAAATACCACATTTGCACAATTTTGCGCAAGAGCAAAGACTGATATTGCACTAGATTTGGTATCCGTAGCAATGACGGTAAATGCCACATTTGCACAACATTTACATCTTGGTGCAAAAATAATGGGCAGCCATGGGTTTGAGGGTCATTTGCAGATGGTTCAAATGTGTAGGCAAATATGTCTCTTTGAACTATATTTGCACATTACGCAAATGATAGCGCAAATCTGCTGTTTTGCACAGCTTTTGCTTTAGATGTAAAGGCATGTAAACCTGTTATTTTCAGAACGTTTACGCAGCTTTGCAAATGTGAGCGAAGTATCTAGTTTGAACAATGTTTGCTTGGGTTATCATGGGTGATCAAATTTTCGTAATTGAACCAGATTGCTTTGCATAGCAAATGTAACCAAACTCTTTGTATTAAACATGTTTGCTCACGAAGGAAATGTTATCAAACCTAAACTTTGAACAAATTTTCTAGGGTGTGAAACATTGCTTTCTGTAATTACCTTATTTACTTAATAGGTAACTTCTGATGGCTTGTAGATTAGTACGTTGTTTAAGTCTGTGAATGCGATCCTAAAATTTCCGGTTTCTCTTGGTGCGTCTATGGATGAAGTTCTGAAAAGTGTGAGCAGTAATTTCTTGTGCGGGTACTTTTCAATTCTCATGCTGTTAAATTGAAAACTGGGTGTGGCCATTCAAATGAAAGCTGTGAAAGCTACTGAACAGTATTTAATTACCTGTAGTGCTGTTTATTTTGGTGTGCAATGTTCTGCAACTCTTAACTTTGCAAAAATTTATCGTGCTTTTTCTCTTTTGTAGGGACGTATTACACGGTCGCAATATTTGAGATTGGTATGGCAATTGTAGCAACTTGCATTGTTTTGAACTTCTACTACAGCAAAACAAAAATGCCAGGTTGGGTCAAAACTATTTTGCTCAAAACATTGGCACCTCTTGTCAAAGTGAAAATAAGATCAAGACGATTTTCTACTAAAGACAGTCAAAAATCCACAGACAGTGCCCATGCGCTCGACATAATCCACAACCCCACGTTCGACACCTTCAATCTTTCGGACGGCGGAGTCAGTTGGGGAGGAATTACAGAAGTTTTTGAACAAAACCAGAACGTAGCGATGACGTCAGTGAACCTTAGAAAGGACAGTCTTGGCTCTGACGCAGAGGAGGAAGAAAACACTGAAAACCCTACCTTAAAAATGAATGGCGTTTCGCACAGAAAGAAAGTGACTAGGCTTAACGACAAAACTCAAAACAGAGAAACAACTTCAGATGACAAACAGCCGTCATCTCTACAGCAGATGATTGAGTGGCAAGATGAATGGCGGGCTGCTTCAAAAGTTTTGGACCGAGTAATTATTATTTTTTCAATAGTCATCGGTTTTGTCTCCTTTGCTATTATTTTTCTGCAAGCCCCGAAAGTAAGACAACTATTTACTATTTCGTAAAAACGTTGTTCAGAAAGGCATTCACGTGAAAGAATCGAATATAACGAGCTTAAGAAAAGACGACGAAGACGGCAACTAGAACGTCAAAAAAGCAGTTAGATTAGCAAAACAACAACTTTGCACCTGCATCAAGTTTTTTTGTCCTTTTCTTTGCCGTCACTGCACGACTACGACGTAACGTTTTGTGAAGGACGTGAACAAGACAACGACTTTCTTTTTCTTTTTCCAGAACTTCGATACTTCCTTATGCCTGACACCAGACAGAGCTGATACTCAACTGTCATAAGCGAAGTAATTAATTTAAACTTCCAAATAGTAGTCGTTACGAAACCTAATAATAGGTCAATTGCACGATGACGATATTTGACTACAACTACCAGAATTCATTTCGGGTTTGCTTTGTTATTTAAATTTGTCAATCCCGCTGAGGATTAAAGAACAATAGCCTTAATTTGCACAAGAAAACAACAAACTCAAGGATTCTGGTAGTTGTAGTAAAATTACGTAATCGTGCAATTGTCCTATTGTTACTAAATGAGCTGGGATGAAATGTCGAATTTCAGGTACCTGCGCGTTTCGGCGGTAAATCGCTTGGCCACTCGGACTTTTAGGGCCTGTTTACATGGAGTGGGGGACCCCGGTCTAGTGGGGTTGGTTTCTTTTGTTTTCACGCTCTGGGGGACACAAAACAAAAGAAACTTACCCCACTAGACCGGGGTACCCCACTCCATGTAAACAGGGTCTTAGAGAGAAAGAAACAACAACAAAGAGGAGTCTTTCTTTCGATTAAATTTAAATGTCAACATTGACGTGGATAACAGAGAAAGAGCTAGAGCCAGAGATAAAAAAGAAAGGAGACTAATTTTTTTGGAAGAGAAACACGAAAATTTTACAGCGGCGGTGCGAAAATGAAAAATTCTAACGGCCACCAAGGTGAAAATGAGCGGGCAGTGAAAAAAATGCGAACAGAAACACATACGACATTTCCTTCATAAAACGATGTGTATCTAGGCCGAAAGTTTCTGGAAGTTTCACGTTGTAGTCGTGCAAAACAACGCCAAAGAAATGTACAAAAAGGTGTGCTATACGTGCAAAATTGTATTTTTTTGGCTAATTAGACCTATGGATTTATTTTGCCGTTTTGTTTGAGAAACTACAAACATTAACGAGAGCTTCGCTTTTAGCCCTGGCTAAATGTAGTATAGAGTATAGGAAAGATACATGATGAACAGTTAAATCAGTTAGAAGAACGCAGGTTCTTATGCTAAAAGCAGTTACACAGACATGCCAAGCCGTGCATGCGCACGCACTGACAACGTGTCCGTTTTGCAATTTTGGAAAAAGTGTTTTGAAAATTTTCATAAGCTCTGGGCTACAAACATCTCCAATGAGAACGGCTGATACAACGACTGAGAAAATAACTAAAACAAGAAAAATTCTTGCACAAAAACTTCATTCCCGCCTCCCTCTTCTCAATCAAGATAGGCGCTTAATAGAGGGTAGTAGGAAGATACATTTATTACAATAATTTGCATCAAAAACATTTGCTTTTCTTGATGGATAAAACTTGTATCAAATGATATGAATCAGATTTTGTAATGTTCGCTTTTGGTAAACTATGGCAATCAAAAGAAATACAGGGTGTTTCAAAAGTTCGTTCCGATTTAAAATTGTATTTTGTGCAAAGCATTTGATACTTCTTTCGGCAAGTGTAAACTGATTCAGGGAAGAAACTTATCTAAATAACCATTCAAAGCAATTTCAAACTAAAATTTGAAGAAATTATAATTTTTTTAAATTTTTGCCCGAATTGTACACGTACGCGAGGTTTTTCCCGCCATACTTTTCCTGCCATTTTGTTTGTTTTCTATTTTGGTATTTTTATCGTTTTCTTTTATTTTCTCTATTCCTTCATCATGAAAATGATGTTACACTAAATCTGGAGCGTCGTTCAAGATATTACATCATCAATTTGGTGTTTCCCTGTGCACTTATAGCCTGCATGGTGTTTTTTACTTTCGTGCTGCCACCGGAATGCGGCGAGCGGGTATCCCTGTGTATTACCATCCTCATGGCTATGACTATCTTCCAAGAACTGACATCAACTAAACTACCACCGAGCTCCGATTCCTTCTTCCTTATTGGTGAGTATTGTATGTCGAATCTAATTACGGCTTCGATTGAGATATTGGCGCGCTCGCGAGTGAGAGATACATAAGAATTCCAGTGAGGACTGAAACTTACTTTCTGTAATTACCTTATTTACTTACTCTGATGGCTTGTAGATTAGTATGTTGTTTAAGTCTGTTAATGCGATCCTAAATTACCGGGTTCTCTTCACTGGACGAAAAAATGGATTTACTAGGGTAGCCAAATTACAGCAAATGTGTAGCAAATACCACATTTGCACAATTTTGCGCAAGAGCAAAGACTGATATTGCACTAGATTTGGTATCCGTAGCAATGACGGTAAATGCCACATTTGCACAACATTTACATCTTGGTGCAAAAATAATGGGCAGCCATGGGTTTGAGGGTCATTTGCAGATGGTTCAAATGTGTAGGCAAATATGTCTCTTTGAACTATATTTGCACATTACGCAAATGATAGCGCAAATCTGCTGTTTTGCACAGCTTTTGCTTTAGATGTAAAGGCATGTAAACCTGTTATTTTCAGAACGTTTACGCAGCTTTGCAAATGTGAGCGAAGTATCTAGTTTGAACAATGTTTGCTTGGGTTATCATGGGTGATCAAATTTTCGTAATTGAACCAGATTGCTTTGCATAGCAAATGTAACCAAACTCTTTGTATTAAACATGTTTGCTCACGAAGGAAATGTTATCAAACCTAAACTTTGAACAAATTTTCTAGGGTGTGAAACATTGCTTTCTGTAATTACCTTATTTACTTAATAGGTAACTTCTGATGGCTTGTAGATTAGTACGTTGTTTAAGTCTGTGAATGCGATCCTAAAATTTCCGGTTTCTCTTGGTGCGTCTATGGATGAAGTTCTGAAAAGTGTGAGCAGTAATTTCTTGTGCGGGTACTTTTCAATTCTCATGCTGTTAAATTGAAAACTGGGTGTGGCCATTCAAATGAAAGCTGTGAAAGCTACTGAACAGTATTTAATTACCTGTAGTGCTGTTTATTTTGGTGTGCAATGTTCTGCAACTCTTAACTTTGCAAAAATTTATCGTGCTTTTTCTCTTTTGTAGGGACGTATTACACGGTCGCAATATTTGAGATTGGTATGGCAATTGTAGCAACTTGCATTGTTTTGAACTTCTACTACAGCAAAACAAAAATGCCAGGTTGGGTCAAAACTATTTTGCTCAAAACATTGGCACCTCTTGTCAAAGTGAAAATAAGATCAAGACGATTTTCTACTAAAGACAGTCAAAAATCCACAGACAGTGCCCATGCGCTCGACATAATCCACAACCCCACGTTCGACACCTTCAATCTTTCGGACGGCGGAGTCAGTTGGGGAGGAATTACAGAAGTGTTTGAACAAAACCAGAACGTAGCGATGACGTCAGTGAACCTTAGAAAGGACAGTCTTGGCTCTGACGCAGAGGAGGAAGAAAACACTGAAAACCCTACCTTAAAAATGAATGGCGTTTCGCACCGAAAGAAAGTGACTGGGCTTAACGACAAAACTCAAAACAGAGAAACAACTTCAGATGACAAACAGCCGTCATCTTTACAGCAGATGATTGAGTGGCAAGATGAATGGCGGGCTGCTTCAAAAGTTTTGGACCGAGTAATTATTATTTTTTCAATAGTCATCGGTTTTGTCTCCTTTGCTATTATTTTTCTGCAAGCCCCGAAAGTAAGACGACTATTTACTATTTCGTAAAAACGTTGTTCAGAAAGGCATTCACGTGAAAGAATCGAATATAACGAGCTTAAGAAAAGACGACGAAGACGGCAACTAGAACGTCAAAAAAGCAGTTAGATTAGCAAAACAACAACTTTGCACGTGCATCAAGTTTTTTTGTCCTTTTCTTTGCCGTCACTGCACGACTACGACGTAACGTTTTGTGGAGGACGTGATCAAGACAACGACTTTCTTTTTCTTTTTAATTTCCAGAACTTAGATACTTCCCTATGCCTGACACCAGACAGAGCAGATACTCAACTGTCATAAGCGAAGTAATTAATTTAAACTTCCAAATAGTAATCGTTACGAAACCAAATAACTGTTACTAAACGAGCTGGGATGAAATGTCGAATTTCAAGTACCTGCGCGTTTCGGCGGTAAATCCCTTGGCCACTCGGACTTTTAGAGAGATTGAAACAACAACAAAGAGGAGTCTTTCTTTCGATTAAATTTAAATGTCAACATTGACGTGGATAACAGAGAAAGAGCTAGAGCCAGAGATAAAAAAGAAAGGAGACTAAATTTTTTGGAAGAGAAACACGAAAATTTTATAGCGGCGGTGCGAAAATGAAAAATTCTAACGGCCACCAAGGTGAAAATGAGCGGGCAGTGAAAAAAATTAAACAGGAACGCATACGACATTTCCTCCATAAAACCTTGTGTATCTAGGCCGAAAGTTTCTGGAAGTTTCATGTTGTAGTCGTGCAAAACAACGCCAAGGAAATGTACAAAAAGGTGTGCTGTACGTGCAAAATTGTTTTTTTGGCTAATTAGACCTATGGATTTATTTTGCCGTTTTGTTTGAGAAACTACAAATATTAACGAGAGCTTCGCTTTTAGCCCTGGCTAAATGTAGTATACACGCTGGGAAAAAAAGTGCTAAAAATCGGCCACAAAATGTGTCCAAAGTTTGTTTAAAAATATGCGTGGAATGTCACAAATATCTCTTAAACTATAGAAGATAATGAGTTGAGACTTTCACTTTCTATTTGTCTTAAGTTTTTCTTTCAAATTCTACATTTTTTGGGTTAGTACTGCGCATGACCAAAAAGTCCATTTTGTGACGTCATCAGTTGTGACGTCACAAAAATGAAATTTGAGATTCCAAATCGGACAAGTTCTTTAATTTTACGTGCACTATATTTGTGCAAAGTATCACACTTTCAGGTTTAATTCTCTTGGAGGAGAAGTCTTTGGGAGTTTTGATTTTTTAATTGGCCACTAGAGGGTCACGTGACTCTCTACCAACAAAACGCCTATTCCAAAATTTTCCTGGAGTGAAGTATTGTTGCCTGTATTAATTTCAGTGTCAT